CAAGGAACTAGCTTTCTTCATGCAGTTTTATCAACTGCATACAGTGGAAAAACTTGCAACTGGGCAACGTCTTGGTGATCATATCAACAACATGTGAACAGACTTCGATTGCTGCTTTACTATCTTCACCCAAGGTTCCACCATAAATTAGGACTCTATTCATAGACCCATTTATGTACCTTAGAATCCCCTTCAATTCTTGCCAATGAGCCTTTCCAGGATTCGCCATGTACCTACTTATAAGACTTACTGCATATGTTATGTCGGGTCTGGTACATACCATATCATACATCAAAGAACCTACTATGTTAGCATATGGAATGTTATTTATATAAGTTCTTTCAACATTAGTGCTGGGACACTGATCTATACTCAGCTTGAATTGAGGGTTTGCTGGAGTCACAACAGGCTTTGAATTCGACATACCAAACTTTTCGAGAACCTTCTGTAGGTATGCCTCTTGAGATAAGCATAATTTCGACTGCTTTATATCTCTTCGGATGTTAATCCCAAGAATCATGGACGCAACTTCCAGATCCTTCATGTCAAACTCCTTATTGAGTTCAACCTTCACCCTCATTACCTCTTCGACATTATTGCTTGCTATTAGAATATTGTCCACATAGAGCAACAAAATAACAAATGAATTACCCGGTCAAAATTTGAAGTAAACGCAGTGGTCGAACTGAATTCTGATGAAACTTATGCGTGCCATGAACTTGTCGAATCTCCTATTCCACTGTCGAGAAGATTGTTTCAGTCCATATAAGCATCTATTTAGCTTGCACACATAATCTTCCTTCCCTTTTTCGACATACCCTTTAGGTTGCCTCAACAGGATTGTTTCATCTAAGTTACCATACAAGAACGCAGTCTTCACATCCATCTGTTCCAATTCAAGATCGAACTGTGCCATTGTGGCAAGCAACATTCGAATGGATTTGTGCTTCACAACAAGAGAGAACACATCATTAAAGTTGATACCTTCTTTCTGAGTGAACCCCCTAGCAACCAATCTTGCATTGTATCTCTTCGGCGCCACTCCTTCGATTTCTTCCTTAACTTTGAAAATCTATTTACAGCTGACTAACCTGGCTTCAGTAGGTTTCTTGATCAGTTCCCATGTGTTGGTATCATGAAGAGATTTCATCTCATCATCCACGGCCTTCAGCCATTTAGTCTTCTTTCGACTCCTCGTAACTTTCTTATAGTCTATAGGTTCTTCGTCTAGAACCTCACTTGCAGAGATTAAGACATAAGCTATAAGATCTGCATACCCAAGTCTCTGAGGTGGCTTGATGACTCTCCTCGACCTGTCTCTTGCTAGCAGGTAGTCATTATCAATCTCCTCATCTTCGATAACATCTTCTGTGTCTTCTTTGACTTCATCTGGGGTACGCAATTCAACTCAATATGCTCCACCTCAACATGAATCTCTCCATGTTCCAAATCTTCATTAGCATTATCAATTCTCTTGAAAGACATCTCTACTTCATTGAAAACTACATCTTGATTGGTGATACACATTCTGTGACCTGGCTCTAGGCACCATAGCCTATAAGCTTTGACTCCTTTAGGGTATCCTATGAACATGTATTTCAGAGCTCTAGGTTCGACCTTGTCTTGTCTAATATGAGCATATGCCACACAGCCAAATACTCTCAGTCTGTCGAGACTAGGTGGATGTCCCGACCAAACTTCTTCAGGTTTCTTCATTCCCGAGGCAGTCGAGGGACATCTATTTATCAGGTAAGCTACTGTCGAAACAGCTTCCACCAAAACACCTTCTTCAATCCAGAACTAACCAACACGCATATAACCCTTTCAAGGATTGTTCGATTGAATCTCTCAGCTAAGTCATTTTGTTGAGGAGTACCTGCTACAATCTTATGCCTTATAATCCCAGACTCAACATAGTAACTGGCGTACGCTTCGTTGCAGAATTCAAGGCCATTGTCGGTTCTCAACCTCTTAACCTTCCTGCCAGTTTGAGTTTCGACCAGAATCTTCCAACTTTTGAAATTCTCAAAAGTTTCATCCTTCATCTTCTGAGTGAATACCCATAGCTTTCTCGAATAGTCATCAACGATGGATAGAAAATACCTTGCACCTGAGTGTGAAGGATTCCTTGCAGACCCCCAAAGATCAGCAAGAATGTAATCCAGGGATCCATGTGTTTTTTGTTTGCCTTTGTTAAACTTCTCCCTACAGGATTTACCAAATACACAAGATTCACAAAACTCCAACTTTACGACTTTGTCACCTTCTAGCAGGTTCTGCTTCATCAATTCGACCAGACCTCTTTCGCTGACATGGACAATTCTCATGTGCCATAATTCTGTCTTCGACATAGGTTTCATGGATGCAACATTTGTCGAACCACTTACAACCTCAGCCTTAAGGGTATACATGCCTTATTTCTTCACGCCTCTCAAGACTTCTTTCGACCCCTTCATGACTCTTTGGATACTTTTCTCCCCTTGAAAAACGTATCCCTTTATATTGAATTCACCAAGAGAAATCAAATTTCTCTTCAAGTCAAGTACATACCTGACTTCAGTCAATAACCTTATTGACTCATCATGGAGCTTGAATCTCACAGATCCAATACCTGCAATTTTGCAAGATTTTTTGTTACCCAATAGCACAGATCCACCATCTGGATCACATAGCTCCTCGAACAATTCTCTGTTTGGAGTCATGTGCCAAGTGCAACCTGAATCCATAATCCACTCTTTTCTCGAGTCTCCACTTAAAACCATAAGAACATCAGATGAGTCGAAGTCATCTTGAACAATGGTTGTGTTTCCATTACCTCCATGATCTTTCAGGCGTTCAGGGCACACCTTTCTTGTGTGACCCTTATTCTTACAGTGATAACATCGAATACCATATGTTTCGTCACTATAAGACTTCTGTTGACTTTTACCTTTCTTCTTGTCAAACTTACCATCCTATCGCAAGAATTTTCCCTTAACGGCCAAACCTTCGTCCACCGTCGAAGGTTTATGCTCCTTTTGTTCGTTCAAGTCCTTAGAATAGAAGGCTGATTGAACTTCTTCAAAGGTCGGGGACTCCCTCCCATACAAGAGAGTTTCTTTGAAGTGAACATGTGTTATGGGCAAAGCACACAGCAACAACAATGCTTAATCTTCATCATCGATCTTCACATCAATATTTTCAAGATCAAGAATCGACTTGTTGAACATATCCAATTGCTTAGCCAACATTTTGTTTTCACTCATCTTGAATGAATACAAAGCTTGCTTCAAGTATAGTCGATTCACCAGAGATTTGGTCATGTACAAACTTTCACGTTTCACCCATAATCCCAATGTTGTAGTCTCCTTTGATACCTGTCGAAGAACCTTATCACTAAGACTCAACAATATTGCGTTGTGGGCTTTCTCAATCATGCTCGTCTTATCTTTTGTCGTTAACGCAACGTCCATGACTTTCTCACCCTTCAAAGCTTCCAAACAACCCTGTTGAACCAGTAGGGCCTTCATCTTCAAGCGCCACAGACTGAAGTCATTCACTCTGGTGAACTTTTCAATCTCATACTTTGTTGAAGGCATCTTTTCCACGCTCACTGCACTAATTTGTTGTGAATCGGATACCTTAAACAAAGTATAAACGGTTTCTTTATGCTCAAGAAACACACAAGGGTTAGGGTTAACAAAGAAAAAAAGGTAAGAAAACAAGGAAAAACAAGGATTGGTTATTAAACTGCTATTCTTTCCTTACTCTTAGAACAAGTTTACAAGTATACAAGAATAACAAAATAACCTCTCTCTCTTGAAATTAGAATTTTATCTTCCTATTTTTCCTTGTGCCAAGATTGAGAAACTAGCATCCTATTTATAAGAAAATAGCACGCTAACTTAAAGGGCTTTTTAACAAATTACCTATTACAAGCTAACTTAGGGTACAAGCTAACTTAAACACTTAGGCTTACAAGTAAGGCCCAATCCAATATGCTAACAACCTAGCAATATTGACTAATGCATGTTAGAACAAACTTCGACTACAACACGCATTATTTTCGACAACAGCATGCGAACAGACTTCGACCTCATGCTTAATTCATGTCGAACCAGAAGCTACCCTTTGACCATACTAGAGTTTGATCCAATATCTCACAATTTCAATAACCATTGAGCATTATTTTAGAGTTGAAATATTTTTCACTATCATTTACAAACAATTACAAGAGTTGAATAACAGATTTAATGAGCAAGTCATTGATGTGTTAACTCTAACTTGTGCTTTGTCTGCCAAGGATAACTACGAGGCTTTTAACTTTGATACTATTTGCACTCTAATTGAAAAATATTATCTTGTGGACTTCAATGACTAAGAGAGGATTTATTAGTGACGATCGTCAAGCATCGAGTTTGAACAACTTATCAACTATTTAAGACTTGTGTTCCTCTTTGGTTGCAACTAGAAAGAATGAAATTTAATATTTGATTGATAGATTGCTCCGCCTTGTCATGACTCTCCCTGTATCTACGACCACTAATAAAATATCTTTTTCGACAATGAAAATTATTAAGACGAGATTGAAAAACAAAATGGAAGCTGACTTTTTAGGAGATGGCATGATGATTCACATTGAAAGAGAAATTACTGCGAATATTGATTCTGAAATTATTATTGATGATTTCAAACTACTCAATAATCGTAGAACATTGTTACAAGGTATTTTTAAATAAATCACCTTTAAATATTTTATGTTCAACTTTATAGTTACTACAACTTAAAATTTTTATATACATTTTACTATGAATATTTGATATAAGTTATAGTTTAATTTTGTACTGACCTCAAACTTTATAGATTGACTTCGCCACCAACTTTATTATTCATTGAGAAAAGAATCTTAATCAATAGAGTACAAATCACAACATCATCCTAATCAACGGATGCAACCACCAAATTGAAATATAAAAACTATCAATATGTGAAGTGTTTTGAAGTTTGGTTGATATCTTTACTCAAAGTTCTTGTGAGGAAATATAGTTTACCCCATTTTGACCAATATGAGTTAGTAAATTGAACTTTCCACCGATAAAAGACTGATCATTTTTATAGATAGGACGTCTAAGTTGTACATAACCACAATATTTCACTTTATGTTCCACAACATCTTTTGTGTACGAAGAAAGAGCCACTTGAATTCCTTCCCCTGCAAAAGTTCAACTCAATTAAAAAAAATCACCAACTAAGTATAATGTTAAATGGATCAGAATAGAATTGTTTCTTTACCGTGTGTAACAAACAACAAGTTTTCATTAGGATATTTATCTGCAAGGCTTGTAATTGTTTGTTGATATCTAACATTTGCTTGTGAAACTGATTCTTCCCATTTAGGTAGCTGCGATTTATCAAGAAAAACAAGATTTTATCACCTTCAATAAATTTTTTTGGTATGAATCAATATGCTTTGTGCCCAACTTCATAGATTAATGTGTGCATATTTATTCCTGACGCGTGTATATTTATCTTAGAGAGAGTAAATAATAATAAAATTAAGATATACCTCCTTATACACCATATCTACATGATTATTATCCACAGTTCCATTTGGGAACATGGTTTCAAGCTGTGAAATATCAAAACTAAAGTTTCCATCTTTTGGAGCAACGTTGATCCGAATAGCTATTGTGTTTAGCATTTCACACAATCCATTCTCAATAGATACCTGCAATTGTGAAAGCCAGACATTTTTATCTATGAAACACGAATATAGAAACAACACCGGATATTAGACACGAGACCGACACCACATATACGACACATATACTAACCTTGAATTCTGAAGGATCAGCAGAAATGTCGTCACGGCTGACACTTCCATCGATATCGTTATCGGCAGAGAGAGCAGTAACAATTTCTGCGGCAGTTTGGACGCAACGTAGAAAAGGAGAAACAAAGAGTCGATGAATCGGGAATCCGAGGCTCTTTCGGATACCTTGACCCGTTTGGAATGCTAGAACCCGACCCGACTGAGTCAGTGGCGGATCCCACGGTCGTGTGGATGTGGATATCCATAATGGCTCAACGTTATCGAGGCGTTCACTGTGCCTCATTACGACGACATTTTGGGACATAACTGGATGCTGTTGGTTTTTCACTATTTGGTTTTCTCTTGAATCCATTTTCGCTGTATATAAATTAAGAGGACTTATGGTTAGTTTTATAGGAATCATGTCCGGAGGTGGGCATTCAAAAGAGTCTTGTTTACATATACCCAACTCTATGTGTATAGTCTCAAAATAAAATAAAAAAATTGTAATGATATTTAAAAGAAGAAATTTGATGCGAAAGATCGTTGTTTACTTTCTCGTTGACGTGGATCCTTCAAATGCAATCAACATTTTTTTATTGAATAATAAATCTCACATATTTTCTAAGAATGTGTGGTGTCCACTATCTAATTAAGTTTTGTTTTGATATAAATTATTTTTTATCTGATGATGACATGCTCAATGTTATATAAGCCTATACGCAATTAAAACTAAGAGCTTTATTAAATTCTAATTGTCTACAGAAAAGTTCTTTTTCAAACGTGATTTAATAAAGACAGAAACAATTAACAAAAGAAATAGATAAAATATAATTAGAATAAGAAATGAAAGAACCTGTATGTAAAGAACGAAAACCAGCTACATAATTTCTCTGCATATGACATGGTTGAACACTGCAGATTCGAAACATCTGTAACCACCGAAGCATGTCGAAGAACAAAAAAGAGAATCTATTAGTAGAAAGATTTTGAATCAGAGAGGTTAAAGAATCAGATACCCTTTGAGTTGAACTGATGAAAAGAACAACAATTATTATAATTGAAATATTTGTAAGTTTTGAATATGTTAGTTTAAGAACAAATGGGGACAAGAGATGTTCTAGGAAACTTCGTTAAAGTGTTATTATAATTGAAATTGAAATTGCAAAGAAAGTGTACAATTTATGTTGGCTTTCATTTTTTATGAGAAGTTGCTCATGAATTTGCCAAACTTTATTGACTTTAATAATGTCATCATGATTTCTACTCCGTGTACGTACACATCACTAGATATTATATTATTTGACGTGTTTATTTAAATAAAAATGTGATGAAAACAACCATGCTATGTATGTTTTTTTTCCTCACATAAGCAAATTCAATTTATATCATTAATCAAAAGCTGTTAAATACAAACAACAATTAAATTGAAAATATTACGTTTTATCTAAGAATTTGTCGCCTTACCTAACATGTGAGCAGGCGAATTCGCTTGACGCTTAACAAACTTCATCTCAAAATTGAAGAGAGAAACTAAAAAGTTCTTAATATAAGAGATAATTAAAATAAACTCAAAATTACCACCATAGTTATTGTGTACTGCTTGCACCACCACTTGAGAGTCACTCTCAAAGATAAAATGATCCAACTGAAAATTGATGACTGTCTGCGCTGCTTCCTTTAGGTCCAATGCTTCTCCCTCTATTACGGATAATAGACTAAAATCCCAAGTTATTGTCGCATTGATGAACCTTCCACTACTATCTCTTTAACACCAACCCATATTAGTTGTTTTATTATTCTTATTAAACTCTGCATCAACGTTACATTTCAACCACCCTACATTTGGTGGTTGCCAAACCAGTAGATGATCAATGAATTCATAATGAGAAGAATAGAATTTTTGGGCTTGAAACCAACTTGCCATGTACGAAAAGCTTTCATACCCAACTTGTTCGCATCCTCCATTTCATTGTTCCAAATCCAATTATTTATATTATTCCACATAACCCATATCATAACAACAACTCTCCTCGCTACATGCCTATCTTCCTTACTACAAATGTCAATAATGATGGATTTTATATCAGTAAAAGAATGTAATCTAGGAGCAATAAAATGCTTCAAATGTAAAAGAATGTAATCTATGAGCAATAAAATGGTTCAAACCTGCATCTATCCAACATCGAGTGGTCTCGTTGGGCACCTAAACAAAACATGTCAATCATCTTCCTTATTACCTTCACAGAATTGACAATTATCAAGACATGGCACAAAGTGTTGACAAAGTCTAATACGCGTTGGTAGGCATCCACGATAAATTCTCCAAAGCATGTTCTTAGCTCTTGCGAGGGAGCTATAATCTTCCACAAACTACCCCAATCCCTTTCCACTCTAAGGTTAAGACAAACAGATTTCTCTTTCCTCAATAACTTTATCCCATTTTCACACTATAATTACCATTGTACTATTCTTTCCACACCAAACAATCCTCCTTCACTTTTTCCAACAATGGTACCTTCAGAATTTCTGACACTGCATCACGTGTAAACAAATGTCTAATTTTTTAAATATCCCATTATTTAACATAAGGAAACATAAGGTTATTGATAGTAATATTATATGCACATTGTCCTTGTGGTGCATAAAGGCCACCATTTCCTTCTCCTTTCAACCACAGTTCTGACATAACATTAACTTTACTCCTATCACCAATATTCCATATACAATTAAGAGATAAAACTTTCCTTGCTTTTAACACGTTTTTCCAAACAAAACTAGGTTTATTACCAATGTTATTCTAAAAAAAGAAGACCGAGGGAAGTACCTGGCTTTAAAGATTCTAGCCACCAACGTATCAGGATTCGACATAATATGCCAATATTGTTTCACCACCATAGCCATATTGAAATTTTTGAAGTCTCTAAATCCAATACCACCTCCCTCATTGGCACAAGTCAATCTATCCCAAGCAAGCCACCTAATTCCTTTATTCTGATCACCGTCTCTCCACCAAAAAGAGTTTAACATCTTCTCAATATCTTTAACAATATTATTTGGAATGACAAAAACACTCATAATTTATGAAGGTATAGCTTGAAGCACTGATTTTATCATGATCTATTTCCTTTCGTCCTTCTCTTAAAAGTGTGTACAGTCTCGATAGCTATCGTAACATTATCAAGAATAGATCAACCCTCTATGAACGCCAATTGATCATCTGATACAAACTTAGATAAGCATTTTTTTTATTCTATTCGCAAGGAGTTTCGAAACCAACTTGTACACCACATTACCCAAAGATATAGGTCTCAAATCCTTCATGTTACTAGGATTCTCAAACTTAGGAATATGATAAATATTGGTCTCAAATCCTTCATGTCGCTTAGGATTCTCATGTAACACCCTTTTCTACCCCACAATTATTAAGGCAAAATAACACAGATTTAAGAGTAAATAAATAAATCTCAATAAAAAATCACCTCAAAGGGCGTATATTTCTCAATGTCTCAAAGTAAGTCAATACTCCGTAACGCACGGGTTTTCCCAAAATACATTCAAATTTCACAAAGCAGCGGAACTCAAAACATAACTCAAGGTTTTCCTCATAAGGGAAAGTTAGTAAAATAACCCACTGGTATATAGTTTAACTCAAAAGAACCCAACCCGATGTTACATATCAGAGCAAGACCCTCTAAGTTAACCATAAAGGCTAACAACTCTAAATATTCAAATATAACTCCTCGACGGCGTCCACGACTAAACTTGGTCATCTGCATGTTACCCACGTGGAGGTAACGTTCAAACAGGCAGGGTGAGTAAAACAATTCATAATAATCAATGTATAACAATTAATGCATAAACGACATTATAATTATATTCAACACATTCATATTCCTCAAATATGCCTCAAAGGCCACAACGTCATACTTTATACAAAAAGACTCATAAATGCAATGCAATGCGACACTACTCAATGCATGTGGTACCAATCATCACATCTCGATGGACACTAGGGCATCAACCCTCCATAGATCCCCATCAATAGGATCGATTCTACTTGAGAACCGGAGCACATAAAAATACTTCACATCCGCACAGTGGGTTTGAAGCCAAAGTAATCGAGGTCCTGAACCAAAGTCCGGATGCACATGAATGCATGATGCACACGTCACAAATCATCCTCATAATAACATCATAGGTGCATCATCATTCATCATATTCATCATCATCAAACGTCATAGCTCATCATCATAATCATCATCATACATCATGTCGTCACAGCTCATCAAAATAATCATCATCATTCATCATGTCATCACAGCACATCATAACACTCATAATCACACATCATTTCGTCATATAATTCATCATAATAATTAATCTCACACATCATGTCATCATATAATTCATCATAATAATTATCATCACACATCATGGAAATCGTCATATAATCACGTACAAATCACATATTAGCTCATAGTCACCCTCATATTAGCCCATCATATTATCACATATTATCACATATTAATTCATAATACTACCCCATATTATCTCATATTAATTCATAATATTATCCCATATTATCTCATACTAATTCATAATACTACCCCATATTATCTCATATTAATTCATTAAATTATACTCGCGGTAATCCTCACATTATCGCCTATCAATCACATAATTCCTCACTGTCATACTCATGTTAACTTATCTCAGAAATCTCATAATCAAACATCAAGGCATCGCTGCACACGATCAAAATTCGCGAAACTCTGCTACGTCTGCTGACATGCTCGCTAGGTGAGTCGGGGCAAGTTTCTTCTCTAGGCGAAGCTTTCTTCGCTAGGCAAGTCTGGAAAAACATGGTTCGCTAGGCAAAGCTTTCATCGCTAGGCGATTCTGGAAAAACATGGTTCGCTAGGCGAACAGTGCGATGACAGCAAAATCTGTTATGCACCAGAACTGATTTTCACCCAAAAACTCATACGATTCACTTACCCAATGCTCCCAAAACATCCCTAAGGTCATACGACGATAAAGGAACAAAACCTACGGTTTATTAGGCCAATTCCGGGACATATTTACGTCCTAAACCAATATTTTCCTACAATTATCCAAGGCATCATAATTTCCCATATCAAATTCCTTCAGGGTCAGACTTATAACATTGCAAGGCTTTGGCCATGAAGGCCTAAGGTTTCCTAATTCCTCATGTTACACATCAAACAGTCAAGAATACTAACCACTAGCCATAACCTCAGAGTCTTATCAATTTCCCTAATTTTCCCACAATCAACCCAAAATACCTTAAATCTTAAATCAACCATAAACACATCGAAAGGCATACGTGGAAAATCATGAAAAGCTATACTCCTCATACCTTAGCCGATTCAAAGCTTTCACGATTGACTCTAGGAACCTTCTGCCTCCAACCTTTCCTTCAGAGCTCTGTCCACCAAACTTTTCACGGTTAACAAATGAATTCTAAATCTCTTAAGCATTCCATTTTGTCCAACTTAGTATTGGGCCTCCAAATTTGGGCTTTTCCCTCATTACCCTTACTAACTCCTCCAAATACCCAAATTATCCTTATTCCACTTATATTCCTTTTAATTAATAATAATACTAATAATTTAATATTATATACTATTAATCAATTAAATTGTCTAAAAATGCACATTTTCACAATATTTCACCAAACCACCGAAAATCACCGAAAACGAATATTCTCAATTAAATAAATAAATTAAAATATTTTGATTAAATTTGGGGTGTTACAACTCTCCTCCACTTAAAAAAATTTTCATCCTCGAAAATTACCTCAAGAAAACAGAGTCGGATACGACTCCCTCAACTGATTCTCACGCTCCTAAATCCAACTTTCCTCAGTTGGTCCTCCCCAAACTACCTTTACCAAGGCAATCCCTTCACCTCAAAGTTGCTTCTC